GTAGCAGTAGCAGTAGCAGTAGCAGTAGCAGTAGCAGTAGCAGTAGCAGTAGCAGTAGTAGTAGTAGTAGTAGTAGTCGCAGTAGTAGTAGTAGTAGTAGTAGTAGTAGTTGTTGTTGTTGTAGTTGTAGTAGTAGTTGTTGTTGTTGTAGTTGTAGTAGTAGTAGTAGTAGTAGTAGTTGTTGTTGTTGTAGTTGTAGTTGTAGTAGTAGTAGTAGTGGTAGTAGTAGTAGTAGTAGTAGTAGTAGTAGTAGTAGGAGTAGTAGTAGTAGTAGTAGTAGTAGCAGCAGACTACTCCTACTTCTACCACTACTACTACTACTACTACTACTACTACTACTGCTGACACTAGCAGCACTGGCAGTACTGGCAGTGCAAGCAGTACTGACAGTGCTAGCAGTGCTAGCAGCACTGGCAGTAGCAGTAGCAGTCGCAGTGGCAGTAGCAGTAGCAGTAGCAGTAGCAGTAGCAGTAGCAGTAGCAGTAGCAGCAGTAGCAGCAACAGCAGTAGCAGTCGCAGCAGTAGCATTAGCAGCAGTAGCAGCAGTAGCAGTAGCAGCAGTAGCAGCAGCAATAGCAGTAGTAGTAATAGCAGTAGTCGGAAGTATGAACATATGTAAGAAGAAGGGCATACAAGAATTAACACGAAAAGTCCAGATCAGAAGCTTGCCTTCAGCAGGATATCGTCGGTACCTTTTGCCACAAACCTGGCCAGTTTCCCCGATTGGGGCATTGGTGGTTGCGGGTTTCTGTTTTGGTTGCTTAAGGGTTGTTGGCTCGGGGATGCCCTGTTATCGGTGATGGCTGTAGGTGTTGTCGAAGCCTCCAAAGTACAGATCGAAGCATTTGTAGATGCAAGTTTTCGGTTCCCAGACCCCCAAAAGGATCTAAAAAATAGATCCCCTAATTGGGGACCCTAACTACTAAAGGGTACTTTATAGGAACCCCCTTAGGGGATCTATTTTTAGATCCTTTTGGGGGTATGGGTTTCGAGGGTTCGACCAGACCTGAACAAGGTTTCAACAATTCCGCATGGAACAGAATCTGGGCTTTGAAGTAACCAGAGAGAAAAAAGTATAGACTGTTATTTCATAATGGTTCCTTTAAGGAACAGGTCCCAAAAACAAGTATTAAAGTATGGCACTCAGAAGCCCAGAGAACTACCTAGGATGAATTGCGATGCCTCGATCTAGAATGCTCCAAACGACTTAGGTGCGAACACTGTCGAGGGCTTCTTGCTATACCCAGCTTGAGATGTTTCCTTGATCAAGGGGCGCCCTCTAGGAAGCAGGGATGGAGCAAACTGCTTCAGCTCGATCTGATGGCTACATACTCCCCTAAACCCTAAACCCTAAACCCTAAACCCTAAACCCTAAACCCTAAACCCTACCAGAAACCCTAAAGTCTAAACCCCATACCCTAAGCCCTGAACCCCCCAAAACCCTGGAACCAAAAACCCCCAACTCAACTCACTAAACCAACGAAAACCCCGCCCACTACCCCTAGCGCCGTAACTCACCGAACTGAGCCCACGCGCGTTGGAATACCAGCGAGGCTTCGGTTTAGGGTTCAGAGTTTCGGGTCGAGGGCTGTCAGGACCCTAAAGCCCTAAACCTTAAACC